ATAATAATAAAGTTGGAAGGGACCTTGGAGGTCATCGAGTCCAACCCCCTGCCTAGGCAGGAACCCTACACCATTTCAGACAAACGGCTGTCCAGTCTCTTCTTAAAAACTTCCAGTGTTGGAGCATTCACCACTTCTGGAGGCAGGTTGTTCCATTGGTTAATTGTTCTAACTGTCAGGAAGTTTCTCCTTAGTTCTAGGTTGCTTCTCTCTTTGGTTAGCTTCCACCCGTTGCTTCTCGTCCTGCCTTCAGGCGCCTTGGAGAATAGCTTGACTCCCTCTTCTTTGTGGCAGCCCCTGAGATATTGGAACACTGCTATCATGTCCCCCCTCGTCCTTCTCTTCGTTAAACTAGACATACCCAGTTCCAGCAACCGTTCCTTATATGTTGTAGCCTCCAGTCCCCTAATCATCTTTGTTGCTCTTCTCTGTACTCTTTCTAGAGTCTCAGCATCTTTTTTACATCGTGGTGACCAAAACTGGATGCAGTATTCCAAATACTATTAAATAATTAGATACTGGTGGGTAAACTTCCTTGAGGGGGTCTTCTTTATTTCAGTCTCTTCTGTCTCATGTTTGGGTACAATCTGATTGAAGCAAGGATATCATGGCTTGCCTCCAGAAGTTGTGAGTGCTCCATCATTGGAGGTTTTTAAGAAGAGATTGGACAACCATTTATCTGAAATGGTATAGGGTTTTCTGCTTGAGCAAGGGTTGGACTAGAAGATTCTGTTTTTCTGTGTAAATCAGTTACTATACAGTATTGTTCATCGACATTAATGCCAGTGAGTAAAATATCAAATTAGAGAAATTAGTAATATTTCCAGTCTAAAAAGTTCACTGGGTAGCACCATAAGCTCTCTGTTAGGCTAAATTGCATACATATGGTTGTCACATGGATAAAGTGAATGGAGGCATACTATGTATCTGCACTAATTCTTATAAACTTTATCTGTTTTTTTAATTGCAATCTTTAAACTCAAAGCCCTCACATTTGTAAAACTATTTTATGTAGTGTTTCCCACGATGCTACCAACCACAAAAGCCAGCTGAGTGACCTTGAGCTAGTCACTCCCTCACAGCCAAAATCAGGCTCTGCAACAAGTTAGTTGAAAAATGATACCCCTTGCCACATCATGCACCAATAAACTTACTGTAGGAACTAGGTCAGCATAGTACAAAACAAGTAGACCCTGGAACTAAGCAGGACAAAGAACAATATAATTTTCTATGGCAATTCAAATTTCAGGTGCTCTTAAAGAAATATCAGAATACTGGTACTTATGCCTGGTAAAGATTTTAAACCCATCTAACGCAAGGCATCATTTTAATCTTTCCCAAAATAACACAACCACCAACCATTGATCTTCATGCTCTTTTCCCTCTTCTGCAGTTCTACAAGAAGCGAAAAACATACTTTGCTCATGATCCTCAACAGCAGTGCATCGAGGGAGACATTGTCCTTCTGAAAGCTTTGCCTGAACGAAAAAACAAGAATGTGAAACATGAGCTTGCTGAGATTGTGTACAAGGTTGGGAAAGTAATTGATCCCATGACGGGGAAACCGTGTGCAGGCCAGAAGTTCCTGGAAAGTGTAGCAGACACAGAAAATCTGACTGACAGAGATACTAGCTTTCTTAGTGAAAAACTCCAAGAACTAAAAGTTTCTTCTCCAGACAAATGAAAGGTTGGAAAATAATTTGGGACTTGTCTGCCTGTCTCAAGGAAAAGATTTTATTGATATATATAGGAAGCATGATTAATAATAAACTGAAGTTAGTGTGTACATGCAATAAAATGTTAACATTTGTTTTTAAAGTATTATATGTTCACTCCTGCCTGAAGGTACACAAAGCAATGTACAGACTGGATACTTTAAAAAGTTCCAGTAAAGCACTAGAATTCATTTACAACCGATAATAAACAAGCAAATCAAAGCAAAAAAAAAAGCAAACAAAGTGATGAGGAAATACTGTATCTTATTAGTGGCATTAGTAACTCTGATGTTTCTCTGAACTGAAACTTATTTGCTTTCTGTAAATGTGGGGAATTCAGCTTCAGAGAAGTCTATTCAGTTCAGTTGTTTGGCTTTCTATGAGTAATGCTATTTTTAGGGTTTACTTTTTTTTAACCATTTATTAAGAGGATTACTTAGTAAAAAAAAAAAAGTTTGGATAGCAATTTCCATCATCAGCACTTTCCTCATCATACAATACGCCTGATAGTTGGCCAAAACTTTCCTAGCCAGAATTTCATTTTCCTAAATACTCTCTTACACAGTACACTACTAATAAAAGTATACTCTGCTGTAATATTGTATTGACATATACAATCACATTTCTTGAATTAGATTTGGCTCTTGTGATGACTACATGGGAACATCTTTATTAAATTTTTATGCTGCCCATCTCCTCTATAAAGTGACTCTTGTAGATTTTTATTTTTTTGCCAACAATACTAAAATGGCTTATCCCTGGCTTCCAATATATAGCCCTGGAGTTTTCTGATAGATTTTCTTCTGACTACTAACTACAGCCAATGCTGCTTTGTTCTTTGGGGATCAGTTTGGATTGACTTCTTCTTCTTGTGCCATATCCGTTATCGGAAGTTGGCGATCATGTTGGCGATCCTGTTTTTATCAGCAGCCGCACGAAAAAGTGCTGCTGAGTTTTGTCCAAACCAGTCCCTTAGATTTTGAAGCCACGATGCTCTTCTTTTGCCTGGACCTCATTTGCCTTCAATCTTTCCCTGGAGGATTAAATGGAGTATGCCGTATTTTTCTGGGTGTTGCATCACATGTCCGAAATATTCTAATTTTCATTTTTTAATTGTTTTGATGATTTCCCCTGGCTTTCCCAGGTGGCTTATCACCTCCTCATTTCTGATCTTGTCAACCCAGCTTATACGTAACAGCCACCTGTAAATCCACATTTTAAATGCTTCTAGTCTCTTCAGGTGGCCTTCTGTCAGAGACCAACTCTCTAGTCCATAGAGCAGGATAGGAAAAATATAGCATCTGACAAGCCTGATTTTCAGTCTTAGGCTTATGTCCTGACTGCAGAAGACCTTTTTCATTTTGAAGAATGCTGTTCTAGCTTTCTCTATCCTGGTCTTTACTTCAGTGTCATGTCCCAGCTTTCATTTGGATTGACTGGGTGATACTTATTTATGTGGACATACTTATATAGCCAAAGCATATTCATTTGATAAAAATGTCCTAATTTTAAAGAAAAATCCCCATGTCCTGGGGAGAAGGGTGAATCTGAAGAGCTGGTTTGTCCTTAAATTGAAATCTTCACATTGTGGGGGGGCGCAATCTGCTGGTTTTTTTAGAAAAACAGAAACATCTGGGGATATCTTTTGCTTTGGTAAACTATCAGTATATATCTAAAATCTCCCTCAAGGCTGCATTCCCTGCCATATAGATGGGGAGGGGGGGAAATCCAAGTACTCCTCTTCCTGGGGAGGGTCCCATCTTAAACATTCTTCCATATCCTCTGAATGAGCTGTTTTTTTTTAACGTGGCTAAACCTATAGAAGTTTTGCAGGTAGGAAAAAGAGCAGTAGCGAGATTTATTCGCGGGCTGTTCTCTTAAAATCTTTTTTGCTATCCCATTTACCCTCCCTTTCAATCGCGTCATATTTGCAGATCGGCTCTTTCACACACCCCCGTCCCCTTCGCTATCCCAAGGCCCTCTAGTGGCTGTCCAGGTGCAACGCGCCCCACTCGCTCCGCTCCCCACCGCCGCCAGCGTAGGTGGTCAAGATGGCGGCCGGAGTGCTGCTGCGGGGGAGCGGGGGCCGCCTCCGCCGTGGCCCCTTCCCGGCACCGGGGGCCACTTTCCGTCTTTTCTACCTCAGGTGAGCGAAGCTGCAGAAAAAGGAGGGAAGAGTATGCCGAGCGCATCTTCCTCCCCTCTCCCGCGGCCGCCGTCATCCTCAAGGTCACGGGCGAATCAGGTGATACCTAGGAGCTCCCCATTTCCTTCGCTCTGGGCACTTGTGGGAAAGGGAAGAGCGGAGCTCCAGCTCCGTGCAGAGAATGGCTGTAAACGCGTCCGTGGATAGAGAGTGCGTGATAGAGCGCCCAGGCTGGATCTGTGTAACCCTTTTCAAAGCCCTTATGGTGCGCCCCCTCCCCCCCGGTCTAACTCGCCAGTGGCTGGTTTCTTGCAACACGCGTGCGCACGGGACGAGTTTGGATTGTATGGTGGGGGCCGTGTTGGGTAAATCCCGACAGTTTAGGGGTCAGGATAGAGTTTACCCTGACCCATAAACTGTCGGGATTTAGAGGATGGAATCATGTAGTCATCATGTGAAAGGACGTCCCGCTCAAGCCCTCTGCACGTGTAAACTAGTTCCTTCTCGAAGTTCCCATAATTAAGCCCCAGCCCCCAGCAAGCCAGTTTTGAAACACCCACCCCATCCCATATAATATATATTATATCTCATCTTTATTTCAACGTGTCCATTTGTGTCCTTATTAAATTGTGAGTGATTTTGGAGACCTTTATGATGGGTGGTAGGTATCCTTTAACAGTAGTCATTGGATAATATATTACAGTCCTGACATTTCAGTATTGTACACCAAATGCTATGTAAAGTAAGCTGCAACTGTAGATTTTTTCTTCTTACTGCATCCACTTGCAATCCACTGGACAATTCTTTCCCAGTGTGCTATACTAAGAAAAGGCAAAGGATTGGCTTAAATATATTAATATAAATTTTATCAAGCCATTCCCCCTCCATTTACCTGCCTCTTCACTTCTTATGTGAAGCCCATTGGCTACCTTCCTGCCCATGAATTGACTCTTCCCCAATTACTTTATTTAACAATGATATATGCCATCATCTGCCACCAAAGCCTTTCTGGATTCTATATAGGACAGACAGGTCAGACTTTGTGCCCCCCCCCCAAAATGGGCACAAGGAGTTATCAAACCAGCTAAATAAACGCAGAACATTCTCAGGATATTTCATCACAAATCTTATCAAGTGGGAGAGAGCTGAGCACTGAAAGGTTTCAGGCTATCTCAGAAGGATTTAGCAAACAAGAGGGCCTTAAGCACATTTCAGCTGTTAATAAGGTGCCCATAATCTGACCTCCACCTTTCATCTGCAAAACTACCTTGTCTTCTCCTCCCTTGCCTCATCCCAATTTATTTAAATTCCACATGAATCATATCACTTTGCATCTGATCAAGTAAGCTTCTTCCCAAGAAAGCTTATACTTTAAATAACATTGTCCATTTCAAACAAGGGCTATCAGACACTTTTTGAATTTTATTTACCAGAGAGATCCATTACAGGTGGTCCTCGACTTACAACAACAATTGAGTCCAAAATTTCCGTTACTATTTTATGCTCTTTAGCACTAGATATCTCAGCTTCAGTTCTCCTTTCTAATTTCCCACCCATAGCAGTCTTCCCCAACCTGGTGCTTCCATATATGTTATCCCAGTCAAAAAATTTTTAGCTTTGAGAGAGAATTGCTGCTAGGGTGTAAAGAGGAACATATACTTTTACCTTATTTTATTCTTTATACTTTAACTTTTTAAAAATAAGAAAAGCATAATATGTTATCCATATCTGTTAATCACAGCAGTTCAGTGTCTCTTTGTACCACAAGATGAGCAGCATATAAATTTAGTAAATAAAAATAAATACATTCACACTGAGATCATTCAAAATGCCCTCAAGGACGTTACTGAAACAACTGGTGATGATCCAAACTATTATTTATTGAAAAGAGTGACTCACCAAACCCCATGTTTTAGGGGGCCCAATGTAAGGTTAGTGTGAATAGGTTACCCATGTATAGTATACATGAGTGCAGTAAACACCATTAAAGAATGATAGAGGCTAGTGTTTGGTAACAAAGGCTGTATAAAAATGTTCTGATTGAGCTACTGAATCCAGAGCATAGAAGGCACTATATAAAGATGCTCTGGTATGCATTGTTTATACTTTGTTAAAGAGTATGCTTGATAAAGATGTACAGGCAATTCAAATGTCCTTGAGATATTCTGGTTTCCTAGGAAACAGGGTTTTCTCATAAACCAAGCAATGAGGCCCGGGAACTCTTGGTCATGTCATATTGTTTGATTCACTTCTACCCACTTAAGTCAAATCATTTGTGACATGAATTAAGAAGCAAGAATGATACTTCAATAATATGAGATCACTATTTGTGGTTGTGCCTATATTAATATATTGTACATAGAACATTTTGAATATATATTAGAACATGGCTTAGAGCCACTGTTAAGGCCTACCTTGTGGCAATAAAGGTGGTGAAGCATCACTAGTTCTTTACCATTATTGCATCTGTGGAAAGCCATTTCACGGCCTTATTTCAGGTGGATACATGTCCTTTTGCATAGAGGGGGCTTGGAGACCCCTTGCAGGGGTCTGCAGAAGAATTTGTTCATCTGTCTTGTCACTCAAATTTGCTCATTGTTGAACCCTGGCCTTGTTGCGTGTCTGGGGGACATACCTGGGGAGGATTCTTGCCTGGTTATCTGGGAAGGGTTTGAACCTGTTGAACCTGAGGAAATGGACAGGATCCTTGGGACTGTATGCTTAACTTCCTGCTCTGTAGACCCCTGCCCCTCCTGGCTTAATAAAGCAGTCGGAGGGGAGGAATGTATGTTGTGTTAATGGGTTGTAGCAGAGTTGATTTTTTCTTTGAGCAAGAGGGTTGTTCCTTTATTTCTTATCTCTTTTGATTCACTATTCACAACACCAATTTTTTTTAAAAAAAAAAAGATACAAAGTTTTTGTTCTTCTGCTTTGTTTTGAAAAGTCCCCATTACTCCACA